CCGAAGTGGAAGGGCGAAACCGGTCGTGGGCTGTCGAAGAGTTTTCAGCAACCTTGTGAGTAGTACTTTTGTGAGAAAGTACTTGTGAGAAGTACCTTGCGAGAAAGTACTAACATGTTTACAACCAGCCTAAACTGGAAAGCCCATGCTAGGTGATAAAAACACCAAGCGTGATAAAACACCCCACCATAGTGGAAATATCCCAACCAACGTTCCCTGCCAACTGGCTCACCAAGCTCATCTTGTCCCAACCACGCGGCCCCCCATTGTGCGTTTCGGACATGCGGTGTGAGACAGGTGCTTCTGAAGCGTGAACGATGGTTTTCAGTGAAAACTCTACACCGACCAACACCGGTTTTGTCCTTCTTGGAACTGGTCACCCAATCTCTGCCAACCATCTACCAAATTGTACGTACGTCGCGATAAATACTTACTGGCAAATTAACATAGTGTCAAAAATGGATTTCACCTGAATCTTTCGTTTGAATCTCTACTACAGCTTAATGTTTGTACACCCCTAAATGGTTTGTTTTCGGAAACGGGAAAAAACTTACTGATAAAAGGCCAAGCAGCCACGTGCGGTTCAATATTAGGAATCAACTGTTCTTTGGCCAAATATTCAGGAGCTTCCTGTGAGAACAAACAGAAAGAGTAAAAATTGTGAACACTTATTGTGACGTCAATATTCTCAACATTTCGAAAATCCTGCAAGCTCCAATTGGTTGACGGCCTTTGAAGCCTACGCAGTGGAATATCACGACAGAAAACGAGACAATAGGTGTTCGCCCTGGAATGTTCTCTTAATCTTCGATGAATGGAATTCGATGAGACACTCAAACCTGATAATGTGCTTCAGCTTCCACATTTGGACCCAGGCAGCTGAGCCAAACAATGAACTTTGGTAAATATTCTCGCTACTAATAAAATGCTAGTAGCAAACACATTAGTCACATGACAGCCAATCGCAGTCGATCAACATAAAGGGTGGAGGGAATATTGAAAGACAAATATAGTAAAAGCGGAATGTTCTCAAAATGTTGATCAGTACTTGTGGCACGTCTGGTGTGAAAATGATAGCTAGGATACCAGAGCTACGCACTGAAGATGAGTGCCAAAAAGCCACGAAATGTGTATAGTCTGAGTGCGCTTCACGACAACTTAAAATCTCGGCACTATTTGATAACAAATTCCTACATGTGTGTTTAGATCAAATGGATTGTTGCACGGCAGTCTACGTGATGCTTGCCAGTCGACAATCAGACACTCAGAAATGGACAAAAATAAAAGATAGCTTTATTTTTAAAATAAACGACCATAATAATCCTTTATTTGTCTTTCAAAAGGACCACCTTTCCCGTGATAGAGCCTACGAGCCTGATAGCTTTGATCAAAAGGGACTTGGGAATTTTTGGATCAAGAACTCTCACAGAAAATCTATGTTCGCGTAAAGCCTTTTTGGTCTCTGTGGTGTAAAGAGTGCGATGAAACGGTTCACTTCCACTGAACTGTGAGCCAACCCGTTGTTTTAACAGCTCGGCGGCCCGATTACAACCAACAAGGGCAGATTGTATAAAAAATGGCACGCTCAACTTCAAAAACTGTGTACACATTAAGTACTATTCTGTGCAGCGTGTCCTGATTGGTTAAAATTCGGTCATGTGGGCGGGCCGTTCTCCCCCTGAATCACCGTATGGGTGAAAATATTACAGGAAAGTAGCCATCAGTTCAAAAAGAAGTTCCAGTTGATGGCACGCTCCACGTCGAACTCTGTGGAATAACTGCTTCCTACCGGCAACACCTGGTGTAACGGTGATACTACTGATGGGGAGGCACGCGAGTAGTATGTGCTGTTCTTGGAATTNATTTCGCTTTGCGTCGATTGAAAAATGGAATTCTGTTGCGTAATTCGCGGGGCCACTTTGTAACATTTGCTTTTATTTGACCGATGAATGATTGGAGGCAATTAATCTCTAGGAAGACTCGTTCGGGAGAAGATCTGTGTCCAGTTTTTACAACCAAGATGCAGATTAGAGTTTTTCTGCCTTGTTCAATGGTCCGTAATCGGTCAGTTGGCGTTTCCAAATAAATAACTCCGCAGCGAAGGCCTTCTTCCTTTCACTGTACAGCGTAGGGAAGCAACTACTAGTGAAGCTGAAGTGAAAAGGATTTTTGGTTTCAATAACTAAGTGGATTGTGAAGATAAGCTAGTATAGAACGTTCCTCCTACTAGGGAATCACGGTCCTCGCGATTCTCAAGTATTTGCATCGTGAATAAGAAACTCAGATACATCAGATACACCCGAATAGACTGAGTCCTGTTGGTTGTTGATCAGGCAGATGTTGAGCTGTTCGCCGAACTTGGCAATTGATTTGCGAACGTTTCGAAACTGTACGCAGTTGAGTGGGTACCTCCTCTTTGACTGCGCGCGTTTACATACAATTCGAAGACTATCCGTTATCTCTTAGCGTGATTGGCCGATTTGGAAACAGCGTTTCGTGAATTTATTGGTTAATTTGTGATGTCGCTTGCGTTGTGGTCTGAGTTACTATCACTCTGCACCAAAAGGTTGCACAGTTATGCTAGAGTTCAAGGAGCGACGGGAAACCTTGCTAATCGATGTCGGCCATCCATGAGCAAATAATGGAGTGAGTAGTCATCATCGCGATGGAAGATGGTTCATGGAGAGAAACGTGCCCTCAAGGATCGATGGAATAAACAGACAGTGTTTTGTGCAAGAACTTGCTTAATCATGCAGTATTTTTTTGGATTTTGACAAATTATTCATTCAAACATCCCACCCGCCCATAAAATTCAAGTGTAACCTGAAAGTAGTTAGGAGGCAAATTTTCCGCGGCTTCGTTTCATTCCACCCTCGTTTTGAGTCGAAACTCCAAGGTAGGAGTACCTCGAAGTAAGACGCAGTTTAGATGTTTCCGGGTGGTGTTCCTTACACGAGGGGAAAGGGAGTTTGAGAATTGTTCTTAAACGGTTTTCACTCAAATTAATGCGACGATATTTCGCACAGCATGTTCGCAAACATCTACCAAACCAAAAACCAATTCTTGACCATGCGACACGTTCGTGCACGTTGAGAAATTCACAAAGTTCTAACTGTCTATACTTCCCAGTAAGCAAGTTGGTCAATTTCAAAACGGCAACTCAATNTCGAAACAAGGTCGATAGGTTGATCATGAGTTACTTCGAGGCGTTCGTTGTACCACGGTCAGTTGAAAACCGTACATCTGAAGCACTGGTTCTGCAACTTCTTATTTTCCGCGAGGCCATCGCTCATTCATCACCTGTTCAACACGAAGACAAAACACTTTGACCTATCGAGTGACCCGATCTTTCGCAAACACCTACTCCTAACAAAGACCTCCGTAAAGTAGGTCGTACACCACAACGTTCGCCATCCGGCGTGATTAAATAGGCGATCCATTCAAAATAGTACATCCGAAGAGGTAGTATAACCAAATTCTCCGAGGTTGTTTGCACCGTTGGGTTTGGCTCGCGGACAAGGTCATTCGGAAACGTTGTGAGATCCCAAGGACCGGAAATGCCGAGTCTGTTTATAAATTTAAAAATCCGAGTTGACTTCAATTAAGATACGATATTCTGCAGGTTGTAAGCAAGGGCTGGTCGTTTTAGACACTCCAGAAAGCGGTCACGGTTGATTTTCGCTAGCATAATCTTGAAAGACAACTTGTGAACATAAGTGGTCTTTAACTTGACTTGTCGGTTTAGCCCATATGTCGAAAGTCGTCGGAAATTGTGACTACTACGGAGTACTCAAGTGTTATTCGTAATTTGTTCAACAATTCCACGAAGAATCTGCTGATGACTGACGGATGACGGGAATTAGTGGCTGCGTCACCCTGCGGTAAACGGCGCACCAGATCGATCCCGTTACATCATCCAGCCACGATGAAACAGTTGATTCTCCGAGATTATTACCTCCTGCAGAGTAATGGGTCGTCTTCACTGATAAAGTGTCATCCTACCACGAATGTGGTGGTCAGGTGTCACTGTTTGCTTTCTACTTGGAAAGTCTTATACGGACCAAAGCCAGGCAAAAAGCTTCTGAATGTGGGCTGGCTACTGAAGGGGTACAGCGCTGTATACACTTGAACTATGATTGTCAAACTACTAATTGTCGAAGAGTTTTTAGCAACCTTGTGAGTAGTTTCCTTTTTGAAAAAATATACTGTGATATCTCGAATATCGCACCAACTGAAACATGAGGCGACCTGTGTGCTGCACATTCATTTGTAGAATATCATAAACGAGAGATTGAGTTGAGTCTGTC